TGTAGGTAAAGTGACACAAATAATTTCCAATAAAATGTGTTACACATTTTATCAATATATAATAATAGCAAACCCAAATAAATGAATATTTTTGGATTGTCTTTTCAGAAAATCGTCATGTATTTATAGGTTTATTTTAGGGTTAGTTTTTTTGACAAAAACCGCTTTATGATTATTTGTAAGAATTGCATCTTTTTGACTCTATTATTTTCAAATCATTCAAAATTATTGATATTTTTACTGTTGATGAAGTTCCAAAAAAAATTTGATTTGTGTAAAGAATTTTGGATTTCTTTAGACAATGCAGATTTCATGATAAATTTTAAATATAAAAAAAACTAATAAAATTTTCAACTATATTTTTTCGGAAATGGGTGATGCATATAATGAGTTTTTTTATTTAACAATTGACTACGAAAACGTTGATTCTTTATATCTGAAATTAATTTGTATGGGTTGCATATATCGAAATATTGAAGCTGTGTTAACATTGCTACAAAATGCCAAGATGAAAAGGTATCCACAATCGGTTTGGGTATTTACTATATTTTCATATGCATTGGACGATTTAAATATGCCAAATTACAAATGAATCGATTTAAATAGCGTACAAGTCCAAAAAATTGTTCTACTGGTTAAACAAAGAGTCATGGTTCTAGTATCTTAGTATCTACTGGTTAAAAAAAATTGTTTTATTTAATTTAGTGTTTTAAAACCAGTTATTTTATGGGAATTTCCATACCGTTTCCGTCCCATCCTGTTCTATCTCGTTCCCGTCCCGAATTTTAAATGGGATCCAAACGAGACATATTTTCTAGTCCCTAAAATCCTGTTTTCGTTCGGTTCCCGTGAAATCTCATCCCATATTTTCATTTAACACATCAAAAATAATATTTTTGAATTTTCCTCAATATTATTCATATTATTATTAATTTTTGAGAAAATTAAATGATATTTGATATATTGAATAACTTTATTAAACGTAAAATTTCATGATTAATTTGTTGACAAAAATAATTTTTTAATTACTTTTTACAAAAGTTTATATAATTGATTTTTTTTCAAAAATTCAGACAGATTCAACCGTTACTATTTAACTATTAAGTTATTCTGCCATATTCCGCAAAAAAACATCAACAATTCAGCTAGATTATACAATTTAGCCAAATTCTCCAGATCCGCTCTGTAAGACTACCAAATTAGCGGGTCAACTCGTGGGTAGTTTTTGTTCTTATGTCGTTGAATGTTACTTTTTGTTAGTTCTTACTTGTTATTTAATAAGTCAATATTATTGTTGTGAAATATTCTATAAAGATAAATATTATGGATGTATGTATATGATTTGCTTATTCTAGATACAATATATATTTAAACAAAGAGGAAGAGTTTAACAGATATAGAATCCTTGTTTCTTCTTAATGTATATATTTCATGTGTTCTCCTTATGTGTACATATTTCATATGTTTAACTTATGTTTCTCCTTCACATATATATTAGATTTTGATCTACGCCAAGCGTGGGATTAAAATTTTAAATATATTTTATAATCGATCTTAATATTTAAACGTGTATTCTAATATTTCTAAACGTACAAAATGATATGTATTGTGTATAWATGTAATAAAATTAAATTTTTACCAAACATATTTCAATGTCATATGRTTTGATCAATTTTGCATAAAAATATTAAAACTAATGCAAATGTTATTTATTTCAATTTATTTGAAGTGTCAAATTGAGTTTTATTATTTGTGTAAAATTGTAAAGTATGCGATAAATCAAATAAATTTTAGATTTATATAAATTTGTCGAACGTAACAGACAAAAAATATATGTTTTCTAATAATAAAATGTAAAAATATTTATAAGTGTAGTTATCAACTACAAATAAATAACATTGTTAGAAATATAATAATAAAAAGCTTTATAATATACCATTTAAAAAAATAGATGATTTAGTAAGTCTAAATATTAGATTTAGTTAAACTTAATTCTGTAAAATTATATTAATGGATTATGTTATAAAATTAATAAAAACATATAGAGATTTTTCCCATGGCATATTGTTTTAATTAAAATGTTTTTATTAGTTAATTTAAATGACATATTCCTTAAAATCTTCATTGAATAATACATATAATTTTTTCACCAATTGTCTATTCAATTAATATATAGAGGATTAGTGGCATTTTAAAGAAAAATTTTAAAATGATGACATTTTTGAAAAGTGGCATTTTTAAAAAATTCTCTATATTTTATCTAAGTATCATGCAAATTAAATTTTGTAAGATAAA